ACTCCAGATATCAACGGGTTTCCCGTACGACGCGCCTTCCAAGATCTCTGGAGCCACATATCCGGGTGTGCCACACGTGGTCACAAGGCCAGAATTGTCTTTGGTCACAGTTTTCGCGAAGCCAAAGTCGGCGAGTTTGATACTGGCGTCGTCATCTGCTGACATAAGCAGTAGGTTCTCCGGTTTGAGGTCTCGGTGCACGACGTTTTGGTCGTGGCAATACTTGATGGCGTCGATGAGAATCTTGACGAGGTCGCGCGCCTCTTTTTCCGTGTAAAACGTTTTCTCCACGATGCGGTCGAAGAGTTCGCCGCCTCCGACGAACTCCGTAACGAGGTAGTAGTAGTCGGGCTCGACGAAAAACTCCTCAAGAGTCATAATGTGCGGATGCTTCATCTGTTGCAGGATGGAAACCTCGAACTGAATGGCTTCGTCGTCCTCGGTTGAGAGTTCCGAGCGTTTGATGCACTTGATGGCGAATTTGTGCTTGCTTTTCTTGTGAACACTCTCACGCACGACCGAGTAGGACCCGGAGCCGATGACTTTGCCCAAGGTGTACGAGTCTGTCACTTTGCCTTTGCCTCTGGGTGAGGCAGCGACAGACGTTTCTTCTACGACGGTGGTGGCTGTGTCGGTGGGCACATCGCCCTTGGGCGTGGCCAGCGAGTCGTCGCGCCCGAAGCACTTGTAGAAGCACGAGAGGCAGCGCATGACCAAGGTGCAACGGGTAGTGGTGCTGGGCTCCCAATGCAATGCGGAATAAATCAGATGAACTCGGACCCATTTTTATTTGATCTGGCAGTCTTTTTTGCTACCACGATGAGAAAAAGAAATTGGCAATTACAGTCATGCACCTCCAATTCGGCACCGGTATCAGTCGATACCCTGCCAGATTTTATGATTACGTGAATCGGATGCGCAATTACCTTTGCCCATCACCACCCTAGCAATTAACCTCAACGGTTTTCCCCTCCTCGGCGAGGGATGACACGCCGCAAACACACACTTTGTTTTTTACCGCCAAATACAATGGGACATCGCCCTTCCTCCTACATGTCACACAAAAGCAGTCTTTGTGCGAGAAGCACAAGTCAGATCCTGCATGCTCTCACTCCGAGCTTGCTCGTTGGGCAACGGAGCGCTATAAGACCCCCCAACTTGGGGGCCCCAAGCAGTAAAGCGCACTACCGTCCAGAGTATTCTTAAGCTGTCCGCGGAAGTTGCCGCCTTGCCGGACGCCTATAGCGACCGGAAGCGCTCTTGCGCGCCCGCGATTCGCGCGTCTGACGTCAAGATTATGCAGAAGATTGGCGTATATTTGGTATTTAATTAACGAATAAAACATCAGTGCACTGGATTTGCGTTTGTTTTTTGCTTTATGTTGTGCACTTATGCCCTGGCACTGTTGATATGGTCCGCCCTGCCGAATTAGAGGTGCACGACTGTACAGTAAAGGTGCTGATTGCGAAAAACGAAACTTATTTTGTAAGGTTTCTAATTGTTTTAAGGTGGAAAAGCAGGGATTTAGTGTGTATCCATCTTCCCGCCAGATTTGAAAATCCATTCGTAGCCATTTTAAAAACGGAAATGCTACAGTCCATGCGTCAAATCCGCTTATTTTCCATGTAATACTCCATGTAATGTCCATGATGTAAAATATTTTCATTCGGTAATTTATAAAAACAACCCAGTCGTTGAGTGCAATCTCTCATCCGTGTATTGTCCACGATGTGATCTATCTAGTTAATACCGGTACAATACTGTATACCGGTAGTTTTACTAATCACACCAGCCTTTCATTTGCTTTTCAAACCCAAACTCGCCCCCCTTCGAGCATTGCCGCCGCCGCCGCTCCGTTACCTGCACGCCACAGCCTACGTCACGAGATCAACCGCTGCTGCAATCGCCGGCCATGTCGCTCAGTCTACCCGCTTCCGCGACGTCTGAGGTGCGTTATCTTGCTGTTTGTGGTCTCTGTGAACGTGTTTCTAACCGTGCGTTATCTATTTGTAAATACAGGGTGGATCGTCCGACTCCTCTTCAGATATCGACACCACGGCTTCCGCAGCCTCCGGCGCGGCTGCAAACTCGGACGACGCCTCGCCTGACACGGACGATTTCAAGCGTCCATGTATTGTCCAGGTCGTAGACTCTCCCTCCCTTGTGGAGGGCCCCGCAGACGTGACGTATCCGAGCTGGTCGGCGTGGAATGAGTATTTGAAGGCTTACTCGGTAAAGTCCCGCCAGGTCATCCGCATCCAGTCAACGCTTAGTTGCGTATTGAGAAACAAGCGGCTGGGTCAAACAGCGGCAGCAAAGCAGGGAATGGATGTTCCGTACGTACCAGAGACGTGGGGTGCTTACCAACGCACATACATCTGCACACATGGCTGGCCAGCAAAAGACAGGAGCAGCGGATTGCGAACCAAGCACTTCGTCCGAGGATGCGGTTGTCCATTTCGATTTGTGGTGCAGCTCGTGCAAGTTGACGGCTTATGCTGCCTTCGCGTGAAGAACGGTGTGTACCAGCACAACCATGCGGTGGGGACAGCGCAGTTTCAAGACGTACGCGAGAACCGTAGGTTGGACGACACGGACACGAAGGATGCTGTGACAGCATGGTGATGTACGGTAGAAAAGCGCGCACGCATCTATTGAGTATCTTCCTGGGGAGAGGCGAGAACCTCGTCAAGAAGGATGTGGACAACATTGTGCAACGTGTTAAAGCAGAGATAAGAGGAGGGTTGAATGACGACGACGCTTGCGCCGCAACTCTCGCGGAATTCGCAGCTATTGACGGTAACGTAGTCACGGTGGACGAAACTGATGCGGGACACTCTGGTGTGATCAGTATGACTTTCAGACATATGCGCGACATGGTTACTAGGTTTCCAGAGCTTTTGCTTGTGGTCTGTACCCACAAAACGAATCGGTAAGTCCTCCCATGTATTGTGCAATTATTTGTCCATGTATTGTCCATGCTTATTTTAATGTCATGCCGATGTATTGTGCGATTCTTGTCCATGTAATGTGCATTAGATACAACTACCAGCTTTGTACCTTCATGATGATAGACGACAATGGGCGTGGGCAGCCTGTACAACAGTCTTTGCTCGAACGAAACGCCGATTGGCAGATGTCCGGAGCGCTGGATCATCTATTTCGGATCGACGATAAGATTGGCGACAAGGTTCAAGTTATAATGGTCGACAAAGATCTGAATGAGATCCGCGTGTTGCGTCGGTACTTCCCTAAGTCGCGCGTGTTGATTTGCGTCTTTCACGTCATCAAATATCTCCGCACAGCGTCCAGGAAGCCAGTATATGGTAAACTTTCGTCGGACGATCACGACGCCATCGACGCATTAGTCCACAACATGGTATATGCCTTAAGTTCAGAGATCTACGAGACCAATTGGACCTCCATGAAGGCACTTTGCACTAGGACTGGATATATGGCATTTTACAACTACATGGATGAAAACTGGAACACTTGTACGGAGATGTGGGTCATGTACCAACGCTCACGGTTGGCACATTTGCGCGTCCACACGAACAACCATTTAGAGAATTGGTTTGGGCATTTTAAGGACGGGGTAAACTCCAACATGACCATGACGGACACCGTGAAGGCCCTTGTGGGTGCTGATGCCAGGACTTCCAGTGAATACGTGTTCGACAAGACTAGGATCGGGTTACGTGTCAACCGCAACTACGACGAGGAGATGTGCCAAGTTTTGCGCTTTACGACGCATTTCGTAGCAACACACGTGGAGAAGGAGTACGTAATGGCATGTTCGAAGGTCGACAAGTTCAATTTCGACTTAAAGTCAAATCCAGGCTTCGTGGAGGTGACGGGTAAACACAAGACGCATGCTGTGGATTTGAAAACGTGGAGCTGCACTTGCTCGTTTGCTTCTGCAATGCGTCTGCCTTGTCAACACGCGATCGCGTTTCGGAAGTGGAGTAACGCCCCAGGAAGCGTAATACCGCTGAGTTGCATCGATGAAAGGTGGGTTAACTCACAATTTATCCACGTATAAGCCGTGAGTTGTCCATGTAATATCCAATATTGATGTTGTACTGAGGGTCTGACATGTCATTCATTTAGATGGTTACATCCTGCTGAACAACCGATGACTCCGCGGCCTTTTGTGCTTAATGAGTTTAAACCAGGGGAGGCGAAACACAAGGTGCTTGACGCTAATGTTAAGTACAAGGAGGCAGTCAGCGCGTTCCAGGCTATATGCAGTGAGCTAGCCGATATCTCTGATGACGACGAGTACCGTGAGCATTTAGACTTCGTCGTGCAACAATGGAGGAACATTAGGCAGCGCAAACGTGTAAAGGTTGAAAAAACGAAGGTTCCAGTCACGAGAGAAGAAACAGAAACAGATGAAGTGACCTCTCCAGTGACAACCAGCCGAAATCGAGCCGGAACCAAGCCCGAAATGGAGCAGCTTGCGCTTGAGACCACTCCTGATGACAACGAAGAGAAAAATACTGATAGTGGATTGCGCATCCGTCTGAACCCCAAAGCTGCGAAGTCTGGTAGGCCCCGGTTGAACAGAAAGGAGAGAGAAGCAGACGACAAGAAGAAACGAGCGTTGTTTAACGAGTCAGAAGCCCATAGAAGAATTCTTGGAGAGGTGACATTAATACAACTTGCGCGCAGTCTTCAACTTGAGAAGCCTCCACTTCAAGACACTCTACGTCGTGTTCTGCCACTCCAAACCAAGTACAACAACGCGGGTAGCAAGAAACCCAAGTACACTAGAGAGAGTGTGCCTGTGCTAAATGAAAACGCGTTCTACCTACTTCCACCCAAACTGCTGGACAAGTGCGTTGCCGTGCTGCCTGTGAGCAACACCAATGAAACAGCCATCGATGTACTCACCCAGAGTCAAACTACACAAAAAGACGAAGAAACATCTACAATACCTGGACAAATCATGGACAGCAACGGACAAAACCCGGAGATCGAGTGTGTCTACATCGCGGGTATCGGAACATTTTCACGCGAACAGATTGAGGCCATGGCATACTTAGCAAACATGAAGCGTTCGTGTGATGATGGAATGGCGTTTACCAAATGGTTAACACAGGATGCAGCCAGCGCCATACCAGCAGCACAACAATCGACACTTCAGAGCATGGCAGAGGCCATTGCTCGCGCCTATCCCCAAGATACCATCCCAATTGACGGCAACGATTACCACTACGCGATGCTGTACCGTCTCAAGCCGCCCCAATGGGCTAATGATGCGCTGATTTTGGCTTTTTGCGCGAGATTGTACAGGACGGGCACCAGCGTTCGCATCGTCGGTGTCGAGGCAGCCTCGGCGTCAAAGAAGAAGAAATCTATGAGTGAAAAAATGAAGACAAAGGTTCAGGAACTACTCACTAAAGCGGATGTACTGCTCATTCCTGTAAATTTTGGGAACATGCATTGGTGTGCAATGATCGTGGATGGCAAGCAGAACAATGTCCTGTACTACGACTCAATGAACCTGAAGACGTACAAGGACGTACTGGACCGCATGTCGTGGGATCTGGCTACTACGCTCAGCGACGACTTCAAAGTTGTGTCCGTCAATGGACCGATCCAGACAGACGGATACAACTGCGGATTCTACGTAATGTTGAGGTTTTGGCGATATGTAGACAAGAGTGTGTCGCTGGACGTAACTCCGATTGGTCTAACGCTGTTACGCTTCCGCATCCTTCACTTCGTGCTTCACGGTAGCAAGCCATAATGCAACTAATACAATCTCATTTCT